AATAATAATAATAATAATAATAATAATAATAATAATAATAATAATAATAATATATATTTATCTATTTACCGTATATGTGGTGATGGTAAAGTAGTAGTAGTAGTAGTAGTAGTAGTAGTAGTGGTGAGGAAGGTTTTTTTTTTTTCTTTTATATATACCCCCTTTGTTGGTTTTTATTTTGCTGTTGTTGTATATTGGTTTCTTTTTTTTTCTCTTTCACCTCTTGAGTACTTGTGTGTATATGTGTGTGTTGTCAGCTCCTTTCCGTTAAAGCTCACACGCCTTTTGCTTTTTGTTTGTTTTTTCTTTTTTTTTTATTGTTATTATTATTATTATTATTATTATTATTATTAAGGTGTGGTATTAATAAGAGAATCGCAAACAACACAAAAAGAGAGAGAAATAAAGAGAGAAAGAAATAAAGATAAATTGTTAAAGAGAGAGAAATAAAAGATAAAGAGTACAAGTACAAACAATGTGAAAGATACCCCTTTATTACATCAGCAGAATCAATTATAAGGAAGGACATATAAGCAAGAAAGAGTGAAAGAGAGAGAGAAAACTAAACAAAAAGAAAGAAAGAGTCTAATTTTTAAAAAAGATACGTAAAAATACCCATACATACACCCCCCATAAAGCGAGTGAATGTCTGTGTATGTGAGTGTGCATGTGTGTTTGTGTACATGCATAGTTAAAAGAAAAAAAAAAAAAACGACGTTCTTCTTCATCTTGTTATTATTATTAATATTATTATTTTTGTAAGTTTCTATTTCTACAGAAAACGCAAAATAATAAAAAAAATCATATAAATAGTAGCAATAATGCCATACCAGCAACAGAAGGATTAAATCCCTTCACTACCTTACTTCCCTCTCTCTCTCTCTTTTATTATTTTTTTCCTTCAGAAAACAAGAGCAACGAGCAAATATAAATACACATATAGATCCATATATATATATATATATATAAATGGGAGATTATATAAAAGAGCACTAATTTCTTTTCTCCTCACTTTTGTACTTCTAATTCCTTCTCATAGCGATCAAGCCATTGTTGTAAATCCATCCACGTGGGTGCCCCTCCACTGTTATTAGCAGTTGGTCGTATCATCAACTTTCCCTGTATAATACGTGCATATAAAAGTCGCTTATGCCCTAATGCACGATGATAAACTACATACTCACCTGCCGTAGAGGAAAGACGACGAAAACGAATTTGTGAAAGAGGATGTTGAGTAAAATGGGCATTTACTACAATACTTAAAACTGTATCAATTTCATCCCATCGGCGTGGTCTATACTTTGGAGGTGCTTGTGTAGTTTGTGTAGTTGAAATGTTTACATTACCTGAACGTGCACGGGGTGATAACTGTGATGATGTTGGTCGTTGTAAAGACTTGGGTGGAGTAGTTGGAAGTTTCTCTAAATCTTCTCCAATAGCCCCACCACGTAAATAAAAAATTCGTCCAGTCTTTTTATCCTTTAATTCTTCCTTTTCCTTTTTATCTATTTGTATATCAACAGGAGAAGTATCATCTGATCCTTTCGCTGGTGTATTGGTTGTTTCCGTCATGGTCATTCCAGTTTCTTTTTCATTTTCATCCCTTCCTCCTTCTGTTGCCAAATCATCCGGCTCTTTAATAGATGTTAACGGTTCTACAGGGTTTACATTAGAAATGGGATTGATAATGTGATCTACTTCTATATTTTCATTCTTTTCTCCCTTTTCTTTTTCTTTTATCGGTGTAGGAGATTCTGTTATCTGCACATCTTCATTCACAACAGGTATTATAGAAGGCTGTGGTTCTTTTTCTTTTTCTACACATTCTTCTTCTTCTTCTTCCAATACATCTGAAGCCGATTCCGAGGCTTCTGCTGCTAATATCACTTCATCAATTTGTTGCTGCGTTACATTCTTCATCTTGGCATCAATTTCTTGTTCATACATAATCATTGCAGGTGCCAATTTGGTACTTCCACGTGTATATGCAATACGGGCAATAGAGAGTAAACAAGTCACTACAGCCCGATCATTCTTTCCATCACAGAGATCAGAATCTGTAAAGAGTTGAGCTTCCACTAAATCATAAGTTTTTCTCGCTTCTTTTAAAAAGGAAATAACATTATCACGGGCAAAGAAACCAATACTTCTCTTTGGAATCTTTAATTCATTATCCGGCACAGGTGGATCACGAAGTTTTTGCAATAACACTAAAAGTACTACACCACTACGAAGTGAATCCACAAAGTTTTCACTCTTTAATACATCAGCGTTAAATACATCTCCCACCACTTGAGCGACCCAATCACGACACTCTGCTGTCATAATTTCATCCATCACCGCACGTGTTGGACCGGCGTTGAGTTGTTTGACTCTTCCACCACTATTATCATCACCATTATCAATAATAGCAGTTGTTGTTGTTGTTGTTATTGTTGTTGTCTTGGAAGGGATCGCAGCAGTAGTAGAAGGAGCATCTTGAGAAGAAGATACAGTTACTTTTTTCAACGGCATACTCTGCTGTATAGATGTTGTTGCTGTTGTATTAGTTGTTGATAATAATGTGGAGGATAAGGATAAAGGCAATAGAGATGTGTTTGACTTTACACCCAAACGACGACGGAGGGCCCGCAGCGCATCACACTCCGCCAATTGACTCATCTCGCTGTGTCGAAGAACACTCTCGACATCCTCATCAGTGGCTGTTGGCACCGCATCTCGTAAACGTTGAGCAGCCGCCAGACGATCTGGTAATTGAGTCACGTGATGTAATTTGTACAGATCCTCAAAGAGTTGCTGTGGAGTTATATTACGATCTATACAAGTCTCTACCGTGTGATCTACACTGTTTACTTTGGCAAAGTCGTAAATGCGGTAAAACTCGCGAAGATCATTCTTATCCGATTCTGTAAAGGACACCGTGGACATGTGAGTTATACCCACCTATGTATATATATATAAAGAGAGAGATAGTGATATAGATAGATGGATAGAGACGATGAGACGTCTTGTTCTTTTCTTTATATTTCGAATTCTTCTTTTTCTTTTTTTTTATATATTTGTTTTTCTTTTTGTGTGTGTTGGACAGGCTGGGCACAAATGGTTTCAGTGCGTTTGCCCTTTAAATTTATAATATAAAACAACACAACAGGAGTCGTGAGAGTGTATGTGTATGTGTGTAGAAGAAGAGAAAACAAAAAAAAAAAAAAAGAGACAAAATAGAAAAGGAGAATATACAAAACCACAGTAAGCATTCATCCATCAATTCAATAATAACAGCATTATTATTTATTTATATATTTATGTATAATTGTATTCACTAGCAGAGTTGTAATTTTTTTCTTCAATAAAAAAAGTTTCAAGTCTCTCTTTATCATTACCTCTCTTATATTCACTCCCTCCCTCTCTCTCTCTCCCGCACCTCTTTACACTCACGCCTTCTCACCACTACACATACGAGCAATATCAAAGTATGGTGCTGTCTTTGCTGGTACAAACACACCGTGTTCCGTTATTATTCCCCCAGTGATGAGATCTGCTGGTGTGATATCAAACACGGGATTCCACACACGCAGCAATGGTCCTTCTGCCACTACACGTTGTTGTGTTATCACATTATGTGTAATCTCACGGGTTTCACGTTCCTCAATGTGAACATCACCTCCCTTCGCCGTGTGTGGATCGAGTGTTGTGGTTGGGGCAGCCACAAAGAAAGGTACATGATGATGAGCCGCTGCAACGGCGAGATTATAAGTTCCAATCTTATTTGCCGTATCGCCATTTTGACAAATACGATCAGCCCCAACAATCACCGCATCTACAGCTCCACTACGCATTAAAGCAGAGGCGGCACTATCACAGAGAAGTGTACATGGGATTTGCTCTTGTACACATTCATATACAGTGAGACGAGCCCCTTGATTCCATGGTCGTGTTTCACATGCATATAATTGTTGTAATTGTCCATTATAAAAGAGTTGACGAACAACGCCAAGTGCGGTACCATAGCGTGAAGTAGCGAGAGCTCCAGTATTACAAATAGTTAATATACTCACTTTTGTTTTTTTTGTGAGTTCCATAATGTGAGCCGCCCCATGCCGCATAATACCCTCATTATAGGCAATATCCTCTGCGAAGATTTTCTCTGCGAGTTGTACACATGCCTCCACCATAGCAGATGGTGTGGAGGCATTTACATTGTTAATATCATGTTTAAATTGGGTGAGGGTTTTGGATAAATTGACTGCGGTTGGACGGGCAGTCATTACGATATCGCAACTCTCCAAGAAGAAACGTTTAGCATCTTCCACAGATTTCCAGAGATTATTATTATTATTATTATTATTATTATTATTATTATTATTATTATTATTATTTTTGTCTTCTTCTTGTGCTTTCTGTTCCCTTTCTGCAGCTACGGCAATAGCGAGGGCGGCACTAACGGCAATAGCGGGAGCCCCACGCACACGCATTTCTTTAATAGCTGTACAGATATCATCAATTGTGCAGATCTCATCAAAGACGGTTTCATATGGAAGTTTTCGCTGGTCTAATAGACGCAGGGATCCTCTGGTGTATTTAATAGACTCTAACGTCTCGTTGTGTGGACGACTCATGATGTTTGAAGTCTTTCTCTCTCTCTCTCTCTCTCCTGTTTGGTGTAGTTCTTTATTTATTTATTTATTTATTTATTCTTCCTAATCAAGAAAGAAAGAAAGAAATAATAATAATACTTATTATAATTACAATAAGGAAAATAAAACAGAGCCACGAGAAACCAAGACAAAAAATCATACAGAGGATTATATATATAATGAAAAACAAACGAATAAAGCACACATGTACGAAAACAAACAAATAAACAAAAACAAAAATAACAACAAAAGAAAACAACAACAGCACACAACATTCATACACTTTTTCTTAAGAAAGCCCCACAAATCGCAGGATGGCCGTACGTGCAAAGGGAATATAACTGAGACAATACCACACCATTGCTAAATATTGCACAATTACAGTAATAATGGTTAACCATGGGTTATGTAAAGCAAGAGCCACCACAAATGTTAACACCATTGCTGAGAGATACACAATAGTAGCAATCAAACGAGTAGAATCAAACATACGTTTTAATTGTGTCATGGGTCCACAAAGGAATAATGTACTTCCAATAGAAGTAATATTCGCCAAAGTGTTAATAACAGCAAATGTATTGAAATCAAGAGAAAAGATGGCGACCCATGCAAAGATAGAGAAGAGGAATCCAAGGGCAAAACAAACACAAAATCCAATAAGACGCTGTTCAAAGGTAAGAGATGGGCATATATTATCTTCTTCCTCTTGTTGCTGCGGAGTAAGACCACCTTCTCCAGAAATAAGTGATATACCACGAGCAGCTTCAAATAAGGAATCCGTTTTGATACCTGTAGACATCTCTATCAGCAGTATTATGTAATGATAATAATTAAAAATGTTGTTAGGATTGTTATTAATGTTTTGTTTTTGTTTTTTGTTTCCCTTTTTCCTTTTCCTTTTGGTGTTGTTATTGTTTTGTTATTTAGTTCTAATTTCTCTTTTCTCTATCTTTAGGGATTTACTACTCGTTTAGGAGAAGTATCGATAATTCTCTGTCTGATAAATGGCACAGGAGAAGGAAAACAAAAAAAAAAAAAACCACAAATGAAAGAAAGAAAGAAAGAAAGAAGAAAAAAAAAACATCAATATATTTATATAAACAATTAAAAAAAAATAGACACGAAAGAAAAAAGAAAAAGAAACATGAATCTTATTTTGCTTTTTTTTTGTATTCATTTAATTACCGCATTTGCATTAATAATAATATAATAATAACACAACACACTCTTGTGAGACTCTTTCAATGTAAAGTGTATTTCCCACCAATACCTCAACACCACCAAACACCAATCTTCCTCCTCCTCCTCTTCTTCTTATAATAATTATCCATATTATTTCAACTGTAATTTGCATTTCACATGCACACTCTCTGGTCTTCTCTGCTCATCGCTACTACTTTACCGCTGCCCTTCTTCTTCTTCTTTTCCTTCTTCTCGTTGTGGTATCGTTAACAACATATTTCGCGATACTTCCATAATATGTTTAAACCGATCTGGACCTAGTAGAATTCCACCAAACCAACGTGTCACTACAATAACATATCCATTCACTTTCATTTGCTCCAATAGAAAGAGTATTCTTCCCGCCGCTCCTGTTTCTCCATCATCATCGCAGTCCTGATGAACCACACCCGCACTATCTATATAGCGATAAGCGTAAATGGTGGGATGTGCCGCCTCTGCAATACTCTTCTGTTGACGAAGATGCATGACGACATCACGTACATCCTCTTCACACCGCACACGTGCCATGTGCGCCACAAACTTTGATTTGCGATCATTGATGGGCGTTCCTGCCCATACTTCCACCGCTGTTGCCTCTCGCTCCGCGTGTTCCTGCAGTAATTGTTCCTCCTCCGCCTCTCGCATGGCTGCGGCATTCGCCATGGCGGAGTTGTGCGTTTCCTCCACCTCCCCAGCAATGCGCTGGGCCACTGTGAGGATCTGCAAGAGCATTGGGGCCCCGAGTGGGATGGTCTCCCGCACCTCTCGTGTGAGTTGGGCGGCGAAGGCACTCACCAGCGGGGCGTTTGGCCCCTCCGCCGTGAAGAGATGCGGGCGGGAGGAGTGTGGATAGCCGCGCGGGGGAATAGTGATATGGAGAATAAAGCGGAAGGGGAGGGAGGCGATGAGTGTGGTGGGGTCTGTTGGGTGCCGCTGGACTTCATCTGGGCAAATGGCGAGGAGCATTTCAATCTCCTCAGCGATTTCTTCTTCCGCCTCCTGCATTGGATCAGAAGAACAACAAGCAGAAGAATAGAAACAAGAACCACAACCACACACACAGAGAGAGAGAGAGAGACTTACCCCCACCACAGTCTTTCTGTCTCACACTCACACTCACTATATATATATATATATATATATATATATATATATATATTTGGGAGATGGATGGTAAATAAGGGATCAAGACATATAAAAAAAGAAACAACAAAAAAAAGAGAAGGAAACAAAATGTAAATCATTACCCAGTGAAGACCGTACAAGGGACATTATTTTTTTGGGCATCATAAATAAATTAAATAAATAAATCTGATGGACATATTTATATATTGTACCAAATTAATCTTACCCTTTTATTAGTTACCTTTTGAATATCAATAAGATAGAAAAAGCTGAAACTGGCATATTGTTTCTTTTTTTTTTTTAATTCTTATTTTCTCCCAAATTTCTTTGTGTATGTGCACTAGTCATGATGTCACCCCTCTCCTTTTTTCTTTATTATTATTATTATTATTGTTTTGTGACTTGAATTCAGCAAAATCAAAATAACAAAAAAGAAAAAAGAACAATAAAGAGGATATCCTTTATACACACAGGAGAATTTCTCTCTCTCTCTCTCTCTCTTTCTCTCTTAGGGAGTTATTGTTGTTATTATTATTTTTTTTTTCTCTTTGTAATACATAATGTATTTTCGATTTTTCATTCTTTGATTTATTTTAGGGAAATCTACCATTTATCCCCCAATTGTGTTTGTGTGTTTTTCTTTTCTTCTTAGAGTTCCTTCCCCACTCTCCCACTCTTTTACTTTGAGGATGAAGAAGACTCCTTTCCCTTTCCATTGTTTCTCTCTTGTATCATATCATCCAGTTTACTGTCTATATCCAAGACTGTAGAAGAGAGATGACTGAGTACAGTTGAAACTTCTTTTCGAAACGTTACATCTCCTGCCATAAACTGACGTAATTCATTCACTTGTTGGGCCAATGAATTTTGTTGGGTAAGTAACTCATTTATTTTCTTTTCCAGTTGAATCAATCCCCCATTCATAGCTGTATTACTCATCGTCATTACGGGTTCTGCTTTCTTTGTTTCTTCTACAGTAGAAGAAGAAGAAGAAGATTTCAATGATGATGGAGTCGTCTTCATCATTACTGGTGGTGGTGTGATGAGTGGTTCTGGTTCTGGTAAATGATTATAAACATACCATGCACGTTTCATACAATATTCCGCCCGTGAGGGTTGATGATTACAACGTGGAAGTAGATTTCGTGTTGTAATACTCACACGATATCCTTTTTTCACTTCTGTGATATTCTTATCTTGTAAAAGATGTCTATTCACAACTGTACCCGCAACTTCTGGTGCAAGGGAGTCTACCGCTCGATCTGAGGTACCATGTGGATAGTAATAATACGCATCTCCGCGAAATAGTAAAAGTGAACGAGGCTCCATCACTACACATTGAATTGGACGCTCTGCCGGGATATCACCATCAAAGCGAAAGGTATCATTATAATGTTCCATTGGTTGTGCATGGGGTTCACGACGGGGATAGAAGAACATTACACACGGAGAATTAAGAGAAAGAACAGAAACCAATGGGAAATAAATAGGACCATCACAGTGAGGGGCAATACCTTCACCAACTTGATATTCATGTATACGAACACTATTAGGGAATGAACTAGGTGTATAAATACCATCATGTAATAACATATCGGTATATCGTTCCACCCATGGAGGCATATTTCTATCCGAAACGAAACTTTTATTACATTCTTCACACATACTACATCCCCATTCTTGTGCTGTACGTTTTGTTAATTGACTCTTGAGTTCTTTTGGTGTATTTTGTACAAACTCTAACATTTGTTTTTCTTCTTCTTCTGAAATGTAGTTTGGAATGTAATGTACATCCGATACATCCCCAACCCGATATTGATCCAATGACATATGAAGTGGTAATGGCTTGTTTAGATTGATATTGATGTTACCAAACGTATTATTATTATTATTATTATTATTATTCTTATTATTGTCATTGTTCTTGTGAATGGTCTCCTGCAACGCCTGTGAGCGTTTAACATGGGATGTTAGTTTCAACTCCTTTGGAAATACCTGTTGGAATACTTGTAATAACTCCCCATTGGGTTCCCACGGTTTGGCACTCATCGTAGGATCCCATGGTGAGAGTTTTGCCGCATTAAACTTTCCACTTTCACTATCATCTTTTCCCCGCCAAGTGCCTACAAGAGAAAATGTGGAATATTCATTTGATGTGGATCGCACACGATTTACTACTCCCGTCACTTCCATCTTCACAGGGGCATACGGTGGCATAGATGAAGTTACAGGATATGTATAAGATTCCAATTGTAATGTAAAGATTACTCCAGCCAAAGAAGAAGTCTTATTATTATTATTATTATTATTATTATTATTTTCTTCATTTAGAATGTGTATACGACCCACACCAAATCCTAAACCATTCGCAGGACGGAAATAAACCATACGATCGTGATCTATAAAAAGTTCACCTTGTAAGGCCTCTGTGAGAACAAGCCAAGGTCCATACAAATCCCGCACAAAATCCACACTTGTCACTGGAGTGGTAATGAGATCATTCACAAGATCAGACTCCGCCGTGGATTCCATTTCATTTGCGTGATCAATGGAGAAATTGGGTGTGGAGAGTTGAAAACCAGAGGCCTTCATTGTTTCCCCAACGGTACTCTTCACACCGCTGCTCTGATGTCGAATAGCAGAGATGGTAGAAACACCTAATAAGGCCCGATAGCGGGATATAAGAGACCGTGGAAGTAAAGGACAACGGCGCATATATTTCCTTTTTCTGTGTGTGTGTGTGTGAGTTTTTTTTTTTTTTTTGTTT